GGGGGGAGTAGAGTGAAGAGAAGAGTGTGCGACGTACCAGACGCATGAGAAATCTCCCTGGGGGATATACTTGATCAGAGAGATGGACGCCCTGGCGGCAGCCGTGCACAGCGCGGCGGAAGAGTAGACCCTGGGGTTCAGGGCCCTGGTGTTGAGGCCCTGGACGGCGTAGTCGGCCAGGCGGCTGGTCCAGAAGCCGTGGTCGACCGACATGCGGTGGATGGTGGTGAGGCAGTTGTAGTAGGTGAAGTGCAGCATGACGACGTGAAGGATGAGCGGCGTGTGGGAAGCCTTGATCTCGTGCTCGGGGCGGAAATCGATGGGGATGGCGTCCTTCCACTCCTCGAGCTGGCGGTCCAGCTCGCCTATGGTGCTGAGCAGCTCGCCGACGGGTCTCTTGGCGGCGCTGGTGGAGTAGAGCTTCTTGTAGACGGTGGACTCGATGATGGCGAACTCGCACATGGTGCGGAAGAGGTTCATCTTGCCCTTCCCGTCGGCGAGGGGGATGTTGCCGATGTTGTCGTCCGGGTCGGCGTCGGGGAGGTCGACGTTCATGTCGTCGTCGTCCTGGGCCGGCGGGCGCCCGGCGCGGAGGCACAGGTCCTTGTCGAGCATGTAGGCGATCCAGAAGACGCGCTTGCGCTGCTCGATCTCGATGGGGTTGAGGTTGAAGCCGGTGCCGCGCTTGTGCAGCCCGATGGTGTGCGCCAGCCGGATCGCCGCCGCCACCAGCAGCGTGCTCGGCTGCGGGTTGGGCGTGCCCTGCATGAAGAGCGCCATGCCCAGCAGGCCCTGCACGCTCAGCAGGTCGGCGTTGCGCATCGTCAGCTCGGTGAAGACCCCCATGGCGTTCTTGAGGTAGCCCCACGCCTTGTCGTCCTCCTCCTGCGGCACCAGGTTGGTCATGACCCGCAGGCGGTGCGCGATGGCCAGGGCGCAGTTGAGGCTGGCCCACCACCCTGACCCCTGGTACATGTCCGACGAGTACTGCCGGTGCACCAGGTGCATAAAGGTCGGCTGGTGGAAGAGCGGGAGCATGCAGTTGAAGTTCTCAAAGTAGTCCTTGAGCAGCGAGAGCGCCTCGTCCTTGGGCGGCAGCGGCCGGAACACGGTCCGCCGGAAGACGTCGTTGAAGACGTGCGGCTTCCAGTTGGTCCACTTGTGGTCGTCGTCCGACACCTCGGAAATCGTCTTCTGGAACGAGTCGTCGCCCGTCTTGGCGTTGACCCACTGGATTCCCTTGGGGGAGAAGATGGAGAAGCCGGATGAGGAGCCTGGAAGCAGGTCAGAAGAGTCTTGCATGGGAGAAGGGCCATATAAAGAGAGGGAGAGGGAGAGAGGGAGAGAGAGAGGGAGAGAGAGGGAGAGGGGGAGAGAAGGAGGGATGGAGGGAAGCTCACCCAAGTACCGCGTCTCACCCGTCTGGGTGGTGACGAGAGAGCACATCATGTCGGACAGAGCCGACACATCATCCGGGTTCTGACGCTGCTGCTGCTGCTGCCTCTGCTGCCCCTGTTCGTCGCCGCCGCTGTCCAGGTTGGGAGAGTGTGGGCCGTTGACGGGCAGATCATCCCTGGAGTTGATGCTGTCCCTGGCGGTGCCCGGCGACGGCCCGGCGGTCATGCTGCGCGGCGAGCCATCGGCGTCGTTGGGCGCCGCAGCAGGCGGCTGCGACAGGGACGTGGCCGGGCTGGGGGCGGTTCCGCTGGACAGCCGGGCCGACTGACGACGGTTCTTCTCCTCGAGGCGTTTCTCCAGCTCGGCCAAGTCTGTTGACTCTTCGTCTTCACCGAGGACGCCTAGATTGGTGGTGGGGGGTGTTGGTGTTAGCATCAGCCATGTGGGAGAGAGAGAGAGAGGGAGATGTCGATTTTCGAGGACATGCCAGATAGTCTGAGGAGATTCTCCATGCGGTCGAGACGATTCTCTAATCCTTCAATGTACTTTGCACTTTTCGTCGAGAAGGGGTGGGACCCGGGGGGGGGGAGGAGGAGGGGGTGCGTGTCAGTATACCAGCGACGGAAACGAGCACCTAGGATTCGAGACGTACCCCTTTGGCGGCGTCCTCTTCTTCTCGACGTGCGTAAAGACGCAGTCAGTCTTGTAGTTGATACACTGGGTACAAGCTGGCAGACGACCATCGCACTTGATCTTCTTTTTCCTGCACATATCGCAGGCCTACTCGACGGCGTCAGTCTTCTTCTCGTCCCGCTCTCCCTCTCCCTCCCTCCCCCCCCTCCTCCTCAGACATACCCTAGCTATCCTCCTGCGCTTGGGATCGTGAACGTCGTCATACGCCAGATGAGCATCCGAGAGCATCTGAGCAGCCAAGTCAGGCGGCAGCTGCGACAGCGAGGCATCCGGCACGACGGGACCGTATGCGCCGAATATCGGGGGTGGGGGGGATATGACGTGGTTGTGCCGCTGCTGCTGCTGCTGAGGTCGATGATGCGGTGCCATGCCGGCCATTGTGAAGTTCATGTGATCCATCTCGCCGTGTCGTCTCTCCTATCAGACCGTACAGATGGTGCGCTTGCTCGTGAGGAGAGTTCTGTCGAATGCGTTCTGTCGAATCTGTTGCCGTCGTCGTCGGTAGTGGGGTGAAGTAGAGAGAGAAAGGAGTTTGGGGGGGGGGGAGAGAGAGAGCAGAAGAAGGACAAGAAGCAGAGTGATGGAATAAGCAGTTCTGTGTCGATCTTTCCCGAACCCGCTTTTCTGACCAAGCAATCTCTCTCTTGCTTTTTCTTCTCTTGTCCGACTTTGACCTCTTTTTATTTCCTCTTGTCTTCTACTTCGCATGAGCTGGATCGGTGCAGTCGCAGGGGTATTCAGTAGGGGGGGAGGGAGGTGTTCAAGGTACAGGTAACCGCAGCGGCAGCTGGACTTGAAAGCTTCCGGATACTCCGTACATGTCAGAGGGGCTTGACTGGTTCGTTTTATCTTT